AGGTGCAGCTGGGGGAATCATTCACCGTGATGTTAAGTCCACCAACATCTTGTTGGATGAAAACCATGTTGCCAAAGTTGCTGACTTTGGCCTTTCAAGATCTGGTCCTCTTGATGAAACACATGTCAGCACAAATGTTAAAGGCACTTTTGGTTACCTTGATCCTGAATACATAATGTCCCAACAGTTGACAGAAAAATCCGATGTTTACTCATTCGGTGTGGTTCTCCTTGAGGTGTTATGTGCAAGACCTGCTATTGATACAATGCTCCCAAGAGACCAAATGAATTTAGCTGAATGGGGAATGCTTTGCAAGAAGAAAGGGTTGCTTGAACAGATTGTTGACTCTTCAATCAAGAATCAGATTGATCCTAGCTCATTAAGAAAATTTAGTGAGACAGCAGAGAAATGCTTGCAAGAAGATGCTAATGATAGGCCTACAATGGGTGATGTGCTGTGGGACTTGGAGTATGCATTCCAGCTCCAGCAAACAGCAAAGCATAGAGAACCTCATGAAGACAGCACAGCCAATGCTTCATCAGCATTTGTTTTGCCAAATATTCAGCGTTTTCCTTCAGTTAGCTCCACGATTAACATAGATGATCTGGCTCTTCCGGGAGACGATGAATTAGATACAACAGAAGTTGAAGTTTTCTCCCAATTGAGAGTTGGTGATGCCAGATAAATTTGTTCAGTTTGTAAGGTATAGTAGTTAACCTTGTTTAAGTTTCTTTAGGCTGTAAAAGCTAAGTTAGGTATGTCTTGTTAATTTTAGTCCTATCGGTGATTATTGTACTACAACTGCTTTCCCATATTTAAGATGTGATAATAGTATTAACTGTTCATAAACAGAAGCAGCTAACAAATTCTATGACGGTTAAACTGCTGTTGATTGGGAGTCTCACCTTGTTACCCCAGAGGAGTGTCTTACTTAGGTTCATACACTCCCTGCTAAATTCTATGCTTTTCCCTGAGACTATCTGATGTAGAACAGATGGCAGATTTTATCACGGTTGAGCAAGAAAAGGGACGTGGTGGGAATTTGCAGAATTGTCGTCCGAGCTCCGATTAGGGAGCAAAATACCATTTCG